AGGTGGCAACCACTTACCTATTTTTGATAGTGAAAAAGCAAGTTAAGCTAACTGGATGCTGTTGGTCACTTTACATTTACCCCACAGGCATGAGTGGTATTGATATTTTCATTTACCTCTTGGCAAAATTTTGAACTGTTAACATTTTCTAAATGTCTTGAGATCTAATTTACCAAAATGGAGGAGACTAACAGGACTGTGAGTGCTGTATTAATGCAATCATGTGCTGCCCCCTGGAGGAGGACCTTGAAAATATAAAGTTCACATCTCAACACAAAGGGAGGCTGAGGACAGTGCAGTTTGTATATAACATTTATTTATTCAGAGCAGATGGCCATAAGATGCAGTCACTGCAAGCACACCACTGTCCACACACATACACACTCGCACACAGGTTTCATACAGTCAATAGCAGAGCAACACGTAACACACACTCGGCCTCTCAAGCACTCACATACAGTCACTGCAGAGCAGAGGAGACACCGGTCCAGTATCTGTTCAGATAAGCACAGGCGGGAAATCAAATAAAAACAGCTTGGCTTTTTCTTTTGAGAAAGAAAATGAACTACTTTTGCTCCACAACATATTTGACCATCTGTGTTTTTTCACCTTCATAGCCTGATCCAACCCAGACCCCAACCCCCACACACACTTCAAAATAACGCCTACAACATGACACATGACCAAAATGAGACCGAGGGAAGGAGGAGAAAAGGCTAAATGTTGCTTTAACATGACGGGCCAAGTTTAAAAGCAAGGATGTCGTCTTCCAGTTGTGGATGATGGGAGGTATGTCTGTGTGGTTGTAACAAGTTCAAAAAAATATGAGTCATCCTCTGTACAGGGGGGAGTTACTATGGGTCTTAGTGGAAAAACGTCATGAACTATCGTGGAAATTTCAGATAACCAGATCATTTTGGGTTTTCCAACATATAAAATTACCCACAGACATTTTTGTGTGAGTAAAAAGAAATTTACTACACATCCACTAACAGCTGGACCAACCATCATGACTTGCATTTTACTGGTTAGTTTTCATTGAAGGGATGTTTTGGTAATCTACACTTTAAAAAATCAATTTGACATTTTTGGAAATATGTTCACTTCATTCTTTATATGATATAACTTCTAGCAGCGGGTTAGCTTAGCTTACTGGGGAACAGCTGGCGTGACTTTATCCAAAGCTAAGAAAAACCACAACATGTCATTTTTACACTCCAGTTTTTGTACGAATCAAATAAACAACATGCTAAGTAGCAGGCTAGCTAGCTTTCCCCCTTTACTGTTCTCTCCGCTAAGCTTAGCCAAGCTAACCTGCTGCTGTAGTTTAGTAATTTTCATACAGACATGAGAGTGGCGTCAATCTTCTCAAATAACTCATGAATACGCTTATTTCACCAAATGTTTTATTACTACCTTTAATGTTCGGCCAAATTAGCACATGAATGCTGCAGCTAACTCGGGAGAGCCAGATGTTGCTGTTCCAGCAAGCATGTGATCGCAGGTGGTCAAAGTGTAGCTGTCTTACTGGAATAAATTTGTCCCTAACTTTCCAATCAGATGAAGAAGATTCAGTTTAAAAAAAAAAAGACAAATAAGGCTTGTATGTGGTAACTGATTGTGAATAAAAGAACAGCAAGTGGGGGGAAAAGATATCACTGTAAGTTATTGTGTTTTGTTCAGGTGTGATTTTATATCTTTTATGGCGACATATAAATAATGAAAACAGAGGAAAGAGAGAGATCCCCATATTTTGTACATACCCATCTACTGTATTGTAGTCAGACCAAAATCACAAAGCAAGGCACATGTTTCAAAGAAAAAAAAAAACTGAACGTTGCATTTAAAACAATTTGAAAATAATACAACTAAACAACAAGAATTTGCTTGTATTATACACATCGCCACACCTGGACACATGTACACATGTAGGCAGAGGAAAAAATAAAAAAAATAACAATAAGAAAACAAAGTAAACAAACAGAAAAACGCTTTCTGGAAATATCCCAACATGGTATCCTACAATGATTCATCAGCTCGGACCACTTAAGCATGGAGAAGCAAACTGATTCAACACTCATTAGATCTGTTTACTTTGAAAAATAGTCTTCAGGATGACACATACATCATAAATACACTTTTTTTTTTTTTGCAAATATCCATATATATAATCTCTATGTGATCATAATTTAAATACCACAACTATTCTCTGAATTCTTATTCATGTATATAAGGAGTGTGGCTGCTATGGGACTGTGATTTTCTTAATGGACCGAGGTGCAAATGGAGTACTGCACCTCACTGGATGCAGGCTCTGGTTGGTTTTAGGAACTGAACGTTGCACTGAAACAAACCATCCAGCTTCACAGATCTCTGGCACCACTTGCTCCATCTTAACACATTTATCTTTTTTTTTTCCTTTTCTTTTTCTTTTTAATCCCATGAAAATGCTGTCATGGCAACACACTGTGTAGTAACCACAGTGATGCCGATGAGGATGGTGGGCGTGATGATGTAGATTGTCATGGCAACAGGGGGTGGGAGGTTTTGGGAGAACGTGGGATGAGAGAGATAAAGACGGAAAGAGAGGGGTTGTCGGCTAAGGTGTCAGGAAGGGTTTTGGTTATATAGTGTTTTGTGTTTTTTCTTCATATCCCGGAGAAATAAACTCAAGGGTCCCGCACAGGGATGTCGGAAAGTTATAGATTTGACAAATATAATCAATATGGGATCTTAAAAGTAGGGATGCACTGACACTGGGTCAATATTGATCTTATTAATTCGATTTTATCGGCCAGATGGGATCAATCCTCATTAAATTCAGGTATTGCATCACTTGAAAGTTCAGTATCTCCACTATCAGTTACACTCAAGACAGACTGCTGACTCCACAGCAATCCCTGCCCTCATGTTACCTTACATAAAAATGATTCCAGTAAATTCCATGGCAGGTTTTAAAGCCCACCTCCAGTCAAAAATGTGTTTTGCTTATTGCTCATTTCAATGTTTATGAGTGTCACTGTGCAGAACAAGGTATGTGCACAGTTTGACACCAGAAGGCTGTTTTCACATTCACCTGCTGTGCTCACTTGATATCCTGAGTTTAACACACAGATGTACCAGCAGGACTTTATGACATCACAACAGGTGCATCAGCCAAACTTGGTCCATTATACAACGTAAAGACGTGTGATGTAACGCACATTAAATGACAAAATGACATTTCAGTGAAGCAGGAAACAGTTTGAGTTCATTAGTTCAACTAGTAGTGAGAAGAAAAATATTTGCATGATCACAATCTCTGGGTTTTAAATGAGGGAGACGACTTTTTACGACAAAGAATCAAGATGATTGAACTATTATTGTGGGAAAATCGTATTAAACTCCAACTACTATTCAAATCTATTTTAAATTTAAACTTTTTTTTTTGTTGGATTGGTGATGGGTATCAGCAGATCCCCTGAGTTAACACACTGGAAGAGAAAAAGTTGGATCAGTGCATCCCTGTTTGAAAATTATTATATATTAACATTGAGATCATATAATCTCATGTGTCTATAACAACACCGATTTTCAGTCACTGAATTTAAATTAAAAAGTTATTCAAATTTGTGTGGGAGTGTGGGAAACCTGAAGTTTGTTGCTAAACCCTTGTTTTACTGAATGAACAGCAGGTATCAGGAGGACTTGAAACTGTCTGGGTGGAGCTGAGTTCACTGGCCTCGCTCTCTCTGGCGCTTGTGTTGCATTGTGTTTGGACGGGGGGGGGGGCGGGGGGTTTGGACCAACTAAAGCTTTGACCCCCGAGACTCATCCTCCTGAAGAAATTACCAACTCTACTGCCTCTACCTTGCACCTCAAACCCCTTTAAGTGCATCCTGAAATCCTCCCAGACCTGACATCTGCTTTCCAAGACAACCTGCTGAAGCCTTGCTGCAGTTTTCTCTCTCCCCCCTCTTCTCTCATTTAGCTTATATTGTGCAGGCTCCCATGTGTGTGTGTGTGTGTGTGTGTGTGTGTGTGCTGGCTGCATGGGTCATTGTGCTTCTCCTGTGTGTGTGTGTGTGTGTGTGTGTGTTGTGGGTGATGATGAGGATGCAGTAGAGTGGATGGATGCAGCCAGGACAGGAAACTGGATTTGATCCTGAAACTCCCAACAATCCACAAGCTGAACCCAGAGCTAACACACATACACCTGTCACACTGTCCCGATCACACGTACACACACACACACTCACACGCACACACGCACACACGCACACACGCACACACACACACACACACTCCCGGAGCTGGATAGTCTCGTTTTGGTCACAGATAAAAAATTTTTCCACCAAGTCATTTACATCGTCACAACACCAGAGGTCACCATTCCACACAGAACCAAGACATCAAACCAAAGAGCTAGAGATTCATATTTATCGGTATATTATATATTAGTGTGCTAATGCAGGACTTTTTCAGTAGATATAAACTCTCCATGCTTAGAATGTACACATACCATACTATGATTCATTACACAGTTGGTTTTTCAATCAGTATTAGTTTAGTTTGTTTGTTCAAGTCCGCGCGGAGTTCTTAAAAGACCCATGTTTTGATTGCAGTCTCCTCCATTTTGTTGCATTTCTTCATCTCTCCATCTGCTGATTTTTTTTTTTCAATCTCCTCTCCCCATCAGACATTTTTGGTCCTTTTTTTTTTTTTCAACCTCTCTCTTTTAGTGTCCCTCTCTTTATCCATCCTTCATTCTTGCACTCTCTCTGCCACATGTCTGTCCAGACCTGTGTCACTGCTCCATCATCATTTTCATCATCAGCAACAGGAGAGCAGGAAGAGGAGGATGAAAGAGGTTTTTCCAGAGCAGCGACGGTCGTTCGGTCGGTCGGACGGACGGACGACGGGAAGAGTGAGGGGTGGGGGGGGTGGGGGGCACAACGGAGAGAGAAGGATGAAGAGAAGAAGAGAGGGACAGAGAGAGATAGAGAGGCGTGTTGCCTGTTGTGCCATCTGAGTCACTCCTGTTGCAGCGTTGCCGTGGAGACACGCTGACTGGTTTCTGTGGTTACTCCAACATGGCGTCCAGTTGGTCGGCAAGGTCATCAAACATGCTGCCGATGTCGTCCAGGATGCTAACCGTGGTCTTCTGCTCAGCCACAGAGCTAACACACACACACACACACACACACACACACACACACACACACACACACACACACACACACACACACACACAATTATACCAAATGATGGAGAATACTTCAACTCTTAATTGAAAGATCTGGGCCTCTCATTTCACAGTGGTTACTGGTACTGAAAAGCTGGGGCTATTTGATTGCTTGCCAAGCTCCTCCCCCCTTAGTTACAGTTGCTACACCTGCCAAGCTTTCCTTTCTCACATGGCACATGTGTAATTTATGCTGATACAATGGAAGATTTACAATTGAAATCTTTATTATAAATATTTCTTTATTTCTATTTTACATGGGAAATGATTGTGACTGACAATCTGATGAGGATGATAATTGTCTGCTTAATCTTTATACTGCGACATAAATGGGAGTATTCACAGCACACACACATCAGGATCACCACACCCAGCCTTGTGGTCTGTGCCGGAATAAACCTGAACACACACCGCCTCAGCATTATTAATCATTACCTCCTGTTCACCACTGTGAAACTAGACACCCTGTGTTTGAGTGTGTGAGGATGTGTATATGAGAGTGTGTGCGCTCCTCACTCCTCTTGCCGCAGTATCTTATCTTCCACGGCCCGCAGAGCGGCGGCCAGTGATGCGCTCGTCTCCTCCAGTTTCTGATGCACCAGAGAGTCCACACTGAAGTCTGGTGTTGTCGTAGCAGCGGGCGCCGACACGCCGCCTCCAACCATCCCGCTGTCCACCGACACTCCCCCGATGGAGGATCGAGGGGGCTTGACGGGCGGCGGTGTCGGGCTGGGAGTAGCCGGAGTCTGTGGCGTCTGTGGTGTGGTGGGGGTCTGCGGGGTGTGGGGGCTCTGAGAAGACGGGCTCGGCGGCTTGGCATTTGGCGGACTGGGAGTGTTGGAAGGGGGGAAAGAGGGGGGTGAGCTGGTCTGTCGAGCCACTGCAGAGTGCTGTTTGACTGGGGCAGAAGCCGGGGTAGGGGAGGGGGGACTGGTCATGGAGTGGATGAGTTTAGCCGGTTTGGGCGCCGTGGGCGGTGGCACTGGTTTGGGCGAGACCGGTGGAGGGATCTTCTTTCCTTCCACTACAGAGAGAGAGAGAGAGAGAGAGAGAGAGAGAGAGAGAGAGAGAGAGAGAGAGAGAGAAAAGAACAACGCCGGGTTAGAGACTTAAAAAATAAAGCAGTTCTGTTCTGCAGCTCCTGGCTCCCAGGGGCCTGACAGGGCCAAACAAGACTGTGTATCATTTTCTCGTCTATATCAAGCAAAGACACGAACAAAGGCTTCAGATATCACACAAACAGGAACTTTGCCAAAAAACTGTGCATCATGGGATGTGGTGGAATAAATCTAGTGCTGGAAAAACAGACCTCTACTGAGACTAAAGAGAACAATATGGACCTTAAAAACATGAAATTTTATAGCTTCATAACATAAATGACCATCATGTATCTGCAGGGGTTTATTTCAACAGGGCTGATCAATAATAATAATAATAATAATAATAATATTCTGGCGTTTTTCTGGCTTCCTCAGACGGGATTTATGGTTTGATTTCAAAGCACATTCTGACATTCAAGTCCCCAAAAACATCAGCAGCATTCTCTGATATTATACTTCTTCACTTGACTTCCTGTGCTCTGATTGGCTGTGGCTGATATTGGAATTGGGGACCTGGATAACTTTCCTTAACTAATAATTAAAAGATTTTGCATAATTCCTCGTCCCCCATCCTCACCCAGACCTCACACAGACACACATCATACCTGGACTTCCAGGCGTGCCAGGGCCTGGCAGGGGGACTCTCTTGTTGGAAGCAGGCTGTGGGGGGGTCTGTGGGCCTCCTTGTCTCTTTATCTGCCCCACCACAGGCTTGGGGGAGACCGGCGGCTTTGGTTTCCTCTGCGGAGCTCCTTCGTTGACTACTGGAGCTCCTTGATCCACACTGTCCCTGCGAGGAGCGGCGGTCACTTGTGGTTGAGGTTGAGGTTGATGTTGGGGCTGAGGTTGAGGTTGAGGTTGCGGCTGCTCCGTCACTCCAGCATCAGACACCGGGCGGCGTCTCACGGTAGCGGTGCCGTTCTGGTAGGGTACCGGCTGCGTGGTGTTCGGCGGCCCGAGTCCCACGGGCTCTCCGTTAGCGGCGGCCAGGTCTGCGTAGCCCTCGGGCTCCTTGTCGCGGCTCTTGGGCCGTCGCTTGACGGTGGACGACTCCTGGAGGGTGAAGTCGGAGCCGTTGGGGTGCGGCTTGGAGCTGCGGGGCCGTCGCTTCAAGGTCGCAGTGGCCTCGGCGCCAGAGATGTCATCCTGGGTGAAACCTCCGTCTCCCTGGGGAGCCTCCCCATCCCCCTGCAGACAGACACAAAATACACACTAACGGAAAATTCATACATTCGTGACAAGAGGTAATTTTTGCACAAACAGTCAGAAACATTGATAAATGGATAAACACAAATAAAAACAGAGAAGCTTCACTATGGATTTGTACTACAGCAGATCACATTTGATTTTAGCACATTACATTACATAGATAGATAGATAGAAAGATAGATAGATAGATAGATAGATAGATAGATAGATAGATAGATAGATAGATAGATAGATAGATAGATAGATAGATAGATAGGTAGGTAGGTAGGTAGGTAGGTAGATAGATAGATAGATAGACAAACATATATATAGATAGCTACCTGTCCTTCTCCTTCTCCTCGACCCTGCCGGCGGATCGTCAGACTTCCCTCCTCCGCAAACGGCAGGTTCTCCGATGAGCTGCCGCTGCCTCCCGAGCTGGGGTGGGGGGAGGACGGAGGGTGGGGGGAGGAGGAATTTATCGTTGGAGGGGAGGTCTCAGGCTGGACGGAGGGAGACGGGAGAGCGGAGGGAGTTGGCTGGTTGCGCCTGGCAGCTGCCACCAGCTCGGTGACGGGGCCACTGATGGTCCTCCGTCGGTTCACCACTTCGCCGTCCAGACCAATGGCATCACGTGTTTTCCCCACCTGGAAATGTGGATACAACACGTACAACTTTAATGCAGAAGACATATACGTAGATATACTTTCTATAATGACTCGGATAAAGTGTTCTCTACAATACCTGCAGGAAATTCTTCTGCAGCGCCATTCCTTTGGCTCCACCCCCTATAGAAGACATTTCCAACATGGCAGCGATGCTCCTCACGCTGCCCATGCTGCTCGTCTCCACAGCACCTGCTTCCACGGACACCCCGAGGTCGCTGGCCCGCCGCTGTTGGTGGTAAGGCACGTCCAGCATCCCCCCCGTGGTAGTGAGTGTGTGCTGCTGTGCGTTGGCATCTGTCAGGTTGGAGTTGGAGCTGGAGATGGCGGAGCTGGAGCGTTTGGGCGGTGGCGGGGGCGGCCCTTTTTTCTTCTGACGCAGAGCAAAGGACTGCGTCTGGTTGCGGTTGGCGTTCTTGTCCTGGTTGCGCACCGAGTGGCTGCGGCTGACGCGGTGGGTCACTGTGGCATATTTACCCCCGTCCCCTCTGACGACAACTGAGTTCTGACCTCTTATGACCTCTGCTTCCCCTTCTCCTCCACCTCCACCTCCTCCTCCTCCTCCTCCTCCTGCCCTCTCATCACACTCGCCATCTGACACGGCGTATCGGTTGAGGCTGTGGGCGCGTTTCTTCTGCAGCGCCGAGGGCTCTGCTCCTTCTCCCTCAGCCAGCTCAGCCTCTGGTGGGAGGCAGAGGAGGGGGACCTGTGGTTGTTGGCTCTCCCTGACCTCCATCACCTGTGTCTGTGGGTGGTGCTGAGGGTGTGCTTGGTGCGGTGGCTGGACTAGAGGCGGCGGCTGCTGCTGCTGCTGCTGAGGCTGAGGCTGAAGCTGAAGCTGAGGCTGAGGCTGAGGCTGAGGCTGAGGTTGGGTACACAGAGCTCCACGGTGGGTCGGAGACTGAGGGGTGTGTGAGCGCGGGGACTGGGGTCTCTCCCCCTGGATAAACTGGGGGGCCGGCTTGGGTTTGGCCTGCGGGGAAGCTGCGCTCTGGACGGAGGAAGTGGAGGAGGAAGATGAGGTTCTAGTCTTGGTGGGAGTGTGAGGGGGCGTGTACCAGGGAGCAGGCTGGGAGTGGGAGTGGGAGTGGGAGTGACGGTGTTTGCCTTGAGAGGAGACACTGCCTCTGTGGGAGGACGTGCTGCCCTGGCTGCTCTGCTGCCTCATAGTCCGCGCCTCCTTCTTAGGCGGCCCGGTGCCTCCTCCCCCGCCTCCTGTCATCACCTCATCGTGGTCCTTGCTGAGGCTGCGTGTTCGTTGAGCTTTGACCTCCTGGCCTGGTTGGGTCATGGCACTCTGCAGCTCGGTGCTCAACTCGCTGTCCTGGAAGGTGCTCATCTTTGGAGACATGACCTCTGAAGAGAGGAAGAAACTCTTCAGATTAACATGAAGATTCACTTTAACAGCACAGCAGCTGGTCGGTGTTTGACCTCTCATGAGGTACGTCCGTTTAGATCTCATTGAAAGTTTATAGCTTACCGTCTGGAGGCGGGCTGTCCACCGACATGATTTCCTGCTGCTGTGTGATTGGTGGAGGCTTCTTTCGGAGGGAGCCCCGCCCATCTGATCCACGCTGCAGTTCAGCCAGTCGCTTCACCGCCAGCATCAGCTTCTTCTGGTGGCCTTTAACATCAACAGATTAGAATTAGCGTTCTTGTTTAATTAATAAAATTTGAAGCTAACTACTTATGTTAAATATAATTTTTAATCAGAAGAAATCATATTTTATATTATTATCATTATTATACATAATGTATTATTATACATTATTATTATTATACACAGTACATATGTAGATCTTTCCTCAACTTAGAGGGTGAACAATTCTGAAGCTGTGAAACAAAATATAGTAAAAGGTTATTAGTCAAAAATATAATTGATCACATCAATAAATGAAATTCTCAATGAAATTATTTATAAATAAAATGGAGAGTAAAAAGAAATGTGAAGCTTTAAGCTTTTCCTTCAACACTTTTTTAAAAAATTGATTAAATTTCACCGTCATAGAACTTACTCCGCTATTTATCTTTCACTAGCTCATTTTATATTTTTAAGCTCCTCAATTTTCTTATATTTTGTTCTTGCCACACATTTAATCATTTATCTACTCCCTATTTTAGCATTTCCTTTTCCACAGTCAGCCATTGAGAGGGTGAGCTTAATTGAAAACACTTATCGCAAAACACACTGAACACCAGCTAGCACCAACTTTCATCATAAAGCGACATCAGCCAGTGCATGAAAAGTTATGATATACTGCGTATTACTGTAGTCCCACTGCATACAAAGAAGTTCACAGGCACCATAGTATTGTATTCAAACTCTAGTATGTTTTTTTTTTTCTCACTTGTCTGACAACCTTTTTGTCAGGGTCGGGCCTCCATACTTAACGTGTCTACGCCAAACTAGGCATATGTGGAAAATTCTGCAGGAAGTGAAGTGGTTTCCTTACCTTCACCCTACCCCTAACCAGTTATCTCTGCTTATTCCCAGGCCTTGGACTCTAACGTTTACCACGACAGCAGCTTTCTTTACCGTAGCACAAATCACATCGTGCTGAAGCTTGATTGCAGCAGTCTCTAATGCTTCCACACACAGTCTGTGTGACTGTACTAGTTACCCAGTTTGGTGATGCCTATTTCCTGCAGGTCCTCCCAAGTGATGTCAGTGATGAAGTCGATGTTCTCGTAGCCGTTCTGCACCAACACCTGGTGGTACTGGTTCAGACCAATGGCAGACAGCCACTCTCCCAGATTGGCCTATAGGAACACCACAAACACGACTGCTCACCAGGCTTAGACCGATAACCGGGGCAGCCAATTAACACATCTGACATTTCATGATGAACCAACAGAAATATGAATTACACTAATAGTTTTAGCATGACAGATACCAGGCAAGCATCTACAAGAATTGGTGTGTGTGTCTTGAGTTTTACTCACAGGTTTCTGATCGGGCAGCCACTCTGTGACACTTAGCTTGTTAATCTCCGATGTCATTTTCTTTCTGTGACCTGGTTTAGTTATTCCAATAGCTGTCAGATCCTACACACACACACAAACAAATAAACAGACACACACATAAGTAAGATACAATAGTGGCGTGCAGGTTTTTCCTCCACAAAAATCTCCATTCTCAAGCAGTTTCTCTCTCTCTCTCTCTCTCACCCGCTCACTCACTCACTCACACACTCACACACACACACACACACACACACACACACACACACAGAGGAAAACTTGCAACAAAAAGAAACAAGAGGCAGCGTGACATCTAATGAAAGCTTCTGCCAGTTGAGGAGAAAGGAGCAGAAATGTAAATGTCTAAAAATGATAAGAAAAGCAGCAAAGCAAGGAGGAGAGCAAAAGCAAAGGAAGCACTAACAAGAAATCAATCAGCTCGATTCTCCATGATTTCATTTAAATTCAGCTCTTACTTTTATACTTTATATAGTCTAGTCTTTTTTATACTCACTATATTCTGTCATAGATAAATAAGGTCAAACATACAAACTAAGAAAATTAAAAATTATAGAGTGTGGATTAAAAACTGAACAGTGCATCATCCTGTCAGTGTCTGTTTAGTTTTGTTTGTTCAATTCAGTGGTAGTTGTGGTGGACACACAAGAACACACTTTTATACACACACTCACGCGCACACACACAGCTGCATCGCTCATAAATTATATACAGACGTGACATAAAAATACAGTAGTAGAGGCAAGGATTTAATGGCATGTCTCTGATAACAAAGCTCTTTTAAAGTCAGCTCAGCTCTGAAGGGTTCAGAATGCACAACTACGACCCGGAGGGAGTGTATATATACAAATAATTTATATGTGCTATAAATTATTTGTATGTAGGTGAGCGTGGCAGAGAGCGTCGGTCTAGCTCCTCGGAGCAGGCAGCAGCAGTGTTGAAGGTGAGGGGAAGGTCGGGGGGATGTATGGATATACTTCTACATCTATTCTCAGTGCACTGGATTTATTTTTTCAATGTAGCTTCAATTTAGGGGGAAACCTTGGCAGCTCAAACTGGAAGTGAGAGTAAAATAAAATCACTCAGTATGTGGAAATGTTGAGGCAACAAGCAACAAGTACATGATGCTTTACAGCAGTTTGGTTATTTTATTGATTTTTATTTTGTGTATTTAAATTCTTTTCTATGTACTCATACTTTGGAAAACTCAACACATTTGGTAAGTCAATAGAATATCTGTAAAATTGGTGGATTGGTGGAAAGTTTCACAGGGTAACAAAAAGCTAAGGATCATAGAAAGAAATATGTGTGCAGAGCCTTTTGTGCTTTTCTTTAAGCAGATGAGTGCTTCTTTCGTTTGTCCTTGTTACTTAAAGCTGCATTAAGTAATGTTTGGACCACTAAGAGGCACGACCACTAACAGAGACCAGCAGTAACGTAGTATGCAAGTTCATTTATGGGCTTTCACCTCTGAAACATCACAGTGAGATTGTTAGAAATGTATCTGTTTTATAGGAATAGTTCGACATATTGGAAAACACACTTGTTTGCTGTTTGGTGAGGAGTTACATGACATGATCGATTCCACTTCTTTACAGTAAATATGAAGCTTCCGCCAGGAGCCAGCTAGCTTAGCTTAGCATAAAGACTAAGCGGTAAACGGCTAACATTTGTCATGAGCTAAGCTAACTGGCTTCTGGTGATAGCTTCATATTTACCCTTCAGACATTAGAGGGGTATCTATCTTCTCATCTAATGTTCTACAAGAAACTGAATAGACGCGTTTTCGAAAATGTCAAAATATTTAAGAAAACATACTTTACCCACTGTCTATACTTTTACTAAGCTAGAGATGGTTCCACACCAATCCAGCAACTTGGCATTTTGAGCCCAGACCATATCCTTTTGAATATTTTGAATTCACTTAATTTACATGTTAAAAAACTACATCATTAGCATAAGTATAACAATATGTGCGGTTTAGAGACTAGCTCAAAGTGTACCAGTGCAGTGATGACATTTTCAAAGATACCAGGGGTCAGTAGGGGTCAATACCAGGTCAAGTGTGAGAGGTGAAAGGTTAAACCAGGGCAGGATTGACAGGAGGCAGGGAAAGAATAGCTGGGATCAGTTTGGTTGAGTGATTTAATTGTGCTCAGTTTTTTTTCAAGGAAATGGTAAACATGCATCTTGAAAACATCAAGGACAGCACAAATCAAAGTTGTTTCCATTGTGGTCCTTGGAGGTGCCTGTGACCTCTCTGGGGTTGAGGGGGTCAGGGTATAGTTGCCTTACCTCCGGGGTCATTCGGCTAATGGTGGGCAAGTCATACCCTGCACTCAGGAAGTTTGGAGCGTAGACCTGCAGCTGAAAGTCGCTCAGCCATTGGACAACGGCCTCTGAGCTCTATGGGAGAGAAGACAGGGGGCATGCGGTCACTGGCTCCGTGTCTGCTTCTTTAACAGCCACTTTTCCTCAGCAGGGCCAAGTAGGGCCAAACACAGCCCACAATATAGTTACTACAGCAAGAAACTGTTCTCCTTATCAGTATATCCTTTCATTATGTCTACGCTTATGTCACAAAGGCAAATTATTATACACTTATGGACGATTATAATGATTCACTGGCATTGCAACATGTAGCTCCTGATAAGGTCAACGTATTAGCCCCGGTTAGCCCTGCTTGGCCATGTGGTGAAAACCAGGCTTAAGTTTGGAAGGAGGAAGGCTCTGCCTCAAGAATCTGGTATGCACCAGCAAGAGCTGCAGATTTAGCACCATCAAGCTAATCTGCATTTACCGCTTCACAGCTGGAAAGTAAAGACAAAACAGAATTTGTGTTGTTTCTTTTGCATGCTTTTAAAGGATAGAGGCCAGAAAACGCTGTATAGTGGTGGTGACAAAAAAGGGTTGTACAAGCATTACACACTCATTGTCACATGAGCTAATTGATCAACTATTTCAACCGATTTTACGCTCGGCTCTTTCTAACTCAAACAGCTGATCTGCGGAGTAATACAGTGAGCACTGTAGGTGTGCTTGTGCGTAGATGTACGGTAGTTCAACGGTTCACAAAATGTAGTTCCAAAGGAAAGAGCTGTTTGACGACAAGATAAAGTGAAAAGATTTAAAATATAGCATACACTTTAGCTGGTATTAGCTTTTTTCTGTGGCCATGTTTTTAAGTGGCTAAACTGAGAGCGCGCTGATCTGAATCAACTGCAGGTAACACGCTAACTATAGATACGTACCTCACACAACCCCACATCAAATCACTTTAATAGATTTATCACTTTAATTAAATACTAGTTAGAACATAAACCTAAACTTAAACATATAAATTTAGTGATGATTTCATCAATAGCTGGTGCAACCCAAATCCTGATCAGCTGTAAAGGAAAAACAATATATGAGCTGGTTAAAATAGTTGATCATCTGCTGCAATGTCCTCCTCTAGATGCTGATGCTGGTGAAAGCACCTCTTTAAACTCCCACATTCCTTCTGTCTCCTTTCTCTTTCTCCATTCTGTGTCTCTCTTCCCCCTTTTTCCTCCTTTTCCTCGTCTTTCCTCGTGACCCTCCTCTTCCTCCAAATTGTCCCTCAAAGCCAATTAGTATTCCTTCCCTTCTTTCTTCCTCTTTACCCTGCCGAAGGAAATATTAGGACGCTGGGTACTGAGGAACCAGGACAGATGGCCTGGAGAACAAGGCTTACATGTCAGCACACACACACACACACACACACAAACACACACACACACACACACACGGGCAAGCGATTCCCACACAACCACCACGACCACCTGCTTCTTAAATATGCTCATTGGTATATCAGGCTTGCAATTATTATACAATGAGACATGAACTTAAATTTTGGCCCCCGCACATATATAAACACACACTCTACAGTAAATGACAGCTTACTGTACATCGTGTAAGCTCAGATTTCACACCTCCACCCACGCCATGCATACTGCTGGACACCTGCCAGCACACACACACACACAAACATACAAACACACACGCACACACACTCCAATATCTTAACTATTATTAAGCTTGCCTGAGGTGCATCTAGCAAACGATCAAATTAGAGACATTTCTCTCAGCAAAAGAAGAAAAAATACTGCAATGGAAGAAGAGAAGCTGCAACCAAAAGCAGTGGATAATGATGGATAGCAGGTAATAGATAAACAAGAGAAGAAGAAACAGAATCCTCTCTCGCACACACACACACACTTGTATACAAAATTCCTCGTTCACAGACTCATACGAGATCAAACCGGGGATCTTCCACTCACACACTCACCGTGTCATGGCTGCATCCGAACACTCGCAGCACGGACGATGCCAGTTGCGAGAGAAACCGCTGGGACATGTTGGTGTCTATTTGTGTCTATATCTCTGTGTGTGTGTGTGTGTGTGTGTGTGTGTGTGTGTGTGTGAGAGAGTGTGTGTGTAGGTGGGAGAGTGCTGTGGTTTAGGTGACTGAGGAGCTACATTCTCATCATGCTGCAGTTGGATGTTGGTAGTGGTGACTTTCTCCTCACTCGTGTGTTTGTAGAGGACTGAATCTGTGGGATTTCGGGACTGTCCTACCTTCCCCTCGCCTGGCCCCTCCCCCTTCCTGGTTGCAGTGGCGTCATAAGGCGGCGCTTCATGGAGTGGACAGCCCGATTGGCTCGACGTGCGAGAGGAGCTGGCAGAGCCTGCTGGGAGAAATATCATTGGCCAGTGTCAAGCTGTCGCCCTATCGCTGTAAACTTGTTTTGATCAACAGATGAGTTTACTCATCATCCAGCCTGACCTCTACCCTCCTCCACCAACTTATTTCTGGTCAGTCTCCTTCTTTGCATTGACACACAACCAATCACATTCTTGCTTTTCCAAGATATAACAAGCCCTCTTAACCAATCACACCCTTCTACATGTCCTCCTACATCCCCTGCCTTGGCCATCTGTTTGTTAAACCAGCCAAAATCTGTGTGTATGTGATATAATGACATTTTTAAAAGACCAGAGGACCGTGACTCTTGTTTTTCTAATCCAACTCTCCTGCTCCCTGGTTTTCATCTTTTCTCTCTGTTAAAAATAAATGTTCTCTCCCCCTCGTTCTCACCAGATTCACATGCAAGCATGGATACCGCGACCATGTCCTACCTGGAGGTTGGTCCACAGACTTGGACTGCTCCATTAGATGCTCCTTAGCTTTGGCAGACTGGGACAAGACTGTGGCTAGAAGCTGCAGATACACACACACACACACACACACATAGAAGCACATACAAACATCCATATTAACAGACATGTAACAACGTGTTGCATTACAGTAGCATTCATAGATTTTTTGACCACTTGGTGGCAGCAAAACAAGCTGCAAATATACAAACACTGTATAAAGTTGATATATTATAAAACAGTAGTTAACATTAACAAATCCAGCAGGCACAGAGCGACTTTAGCATTCATTTAGATTCATATCTCTGGACACCTGGCAAATTTAGTGCAATATTAACTCTCTTTTAGCTCTGTTTTGGGTCTCCACCAACTCCTGAGGAAAATATTTGGCTCTGTTGCTAACTTTGAAGAGGTAGTGCACAGTGAGTGAGTTTATCAGATTTTTTATCACCTAAAACTGCTGCCTGGTCCTGCTGGAAACTCGACTGATAAGAGCAGTGACAGTGAATCAAAACAGTACGGTTGTGGGTCACAAAACAAAGAAGTAAAAGATGCTAAAACGCTCCTGCAGTGCAACTTTAGGTATCTATTTTCTAAGGACATGTTAATGCTTTACAGTGAGATTATTTAGCTTTTGCTTAACAGCCACCACTCTGGCCACAAGTGACAATTACAGGATAAATAAACTGAACTTCCTCCATTTCCAAAAATGTTCTTGTGTCATTTGTATTGAAGACATCAACTTCAGGTGATCTGACTTTGAGTAAGCAACAACAAACATGTCTGCTTGTGAGGTACTGTATGCTTACATCTTGTTTTACTTTTGTGACGAATCCATTGAACTGTTTATCTGTGACATACTGAGATGTAGTGTAACAGTAGCATAAGTAATGATGAGTCATATAGTCAGCAAAACTGACTCAGTAATGTGAGTTACACAGCGACATCTATCTATGTTTGCTAATATTAGCTAACGTTAGCCACCATAAGCTACTGATCATACCAGACCAAGTAAGGCTGTAGCAGCAAAACTCCTGACTGTATTAAACTGAGCAAGAATGTGTTTAGGTGCTAATGATTCCAGTTTTTTATTTGTTGGAGAAAGAATGTGTTATTTCTTCTTTTAAAGGTTATATAGTCACGCTTAAACATAACACATAAACACTAGCTAATTATGGCTAAACTACTTGTTCTTATTCTCCAGTAAATCGTCAATTTACCATGGTGTATTATCATTTGCTTCAATCTGCATGACTGGCAAACCACATTTCCTGTTCACATATTCACAATAAATCACCTACGGTGGCCTTCAAGGTACATTGATACCTTTACACAAGTATGTACATGTGACAGGAAAAAAGCAAATTGGTTGTGGACTTTTCTGCCTTCTCATTCAGCTACACAAAATTCCAATTATATAACCTCACCATCTGAGAGTAGATTGATCTCTGTACATAAGTCTGTCTGGAGAAAAAGTGATGTATGTTTGATGTTTGCTACATTAATCACATTTAAACCTTGGTTCTGAAGCCCAGTATGAGGACTGCAATAAAAATCTGCCTTACACTGATGAAAAGTGAGCGGAGAGAGACACAGAGAAGACAGATGCTACCAGTCAGTCCAGGCTGTACTGGGTTTAGTTTTGCTGTGTGGATGTTTTAGTAGTTTTAAAAAGTGCCACAGTTGCAGTTTCTTAACAGGATTCCTGCTCAAAATGTCTAACATGCAAGTGGCTATTTATATATAAGCACCTTGACGGATGCTTCAGACTAACAACACGCAGCACAGCATGTCTCTGTGGCTGTATGTGTGTCTATAGGTGTGTTAAAGCATACAGATGGGTGATGCTAAACAACATATTTGGTGTTTAGATGATGATGGCGGAGAGCGCTCTGCACTGGGCTGCAAAATCTCCCATAGGTGTTCAACTGGGCTGAGATCTGGTGACTGTTAAGGCCACAGCTGGTCTTGATGATTCAGCCCATTAACATACTCATTAGGTTTAATTTGTCTAATTTGGTACTAACCATAGGGTAAATAGGAATTTCTTTCAAAGAACTGCTTCATTAAACCCCAAGTACATATTCATTCATTATTCACTCAGTGGTGGAAGAGGTATTCAGATCCATTACTTAAAGGCTCTGAAACATATTTTCTCAAGGGGCTGCATTTGAAGACTGATTGCGATGTGACCAGGCTGACAAGTTTATTTTCCAGGGCAACGAGGGCTCCAACGTGTGAATCCTTTGTGGCCCAACCTATCCCAAGATTCATTGCGCGCCGGTATTGAAAATATTATGGCAGCAAACAACACCGACAGAGAGCCAGAGGATTACACTTTTAAATGTGAGTACTGGGTTTCACCTCAGTTGTACATGTTACAGTACGACTGTTAAAAAAGCAAGGGCCTTAAAACCTAAAGTTTTGGTAAAAACTGTCTCATTTCAGTTCGGCCTTCGCAGTCTACGACATTGTAGACCGTGTCCTCTGGAGGATGCAGCCACTGAATTGGGACGGAGCTTATGAGTGATGGGGTCCCACATCAACACAAAACCATCTGCCAAAGTTAGAATAATTTATTTTATTATTTCATGGGAGACTTTTGTATATATACTGTATATATATTTTCACACTAGTTTGAAGTGGGCACAACTCATCATGATGAAATCAAAATGTAATGACAGTACTAGAGTTACTTGCTTTTGTTTGCCAGGTCACTGTCAATCAAATCTGAGCAACCTACTCAATCCTGATGAAGCAGTTTTGAGTGTTACACCTTTGATAAATAACAACTTTGGATGTTTTTTTTTAAGCTTTAACTTTGTTGTTTCCTCTAGTGATGGAAAAATAATGCAGTAAAGTAAGTAAAACATGAAACCAAATTATCAAGGATTTCATGTAAAAGTGCAAGTAAATTAATTAGTATAATCCATAACAAGTAAAAGTCCAGCATTCAAAATTATAAAGTGAAAAATCTCGTAACTTAAATTTTCAGCAGCTGCTTTTGTTGACACTGCAGCTAATCTTTCCCTTTTGGTTATTAGTAGTTTCCTTTGATTGTGATTAATATCCAGCTACAAACTGGCTGTAGTGACTATACAAATAATTGTTTGTATGCATGTGTGTGTGTGTGTGTGTGTGTATGTCGTACCTTAACCCCCTCAGCCTGTGCATGGAGGATGTGAGGTGCACTGCCGGCACTCTGACCGCTGCCTGACGATCGCACACTGGTGACGCTGCCAGAACTACCCACACTGCTTCGGTCTCCACCTGCAACACACACACACACACACACCCACACACACACACACAAACACGCACACACATACACACAAAACATACAAACATGCATTCACACGTGCATGCAACCGCCCAAACATTATGTATAGATTTTATGCATACAAATGCACACATGCAACAAACAGATGGATACATAGTCACACACACATACACACACACAACACACAACACACACACACACACACACACACACACACACACATTGAGTGGTTTAGCTGGAGTCCAAAGCAACATGGTAACAGGTGTAACTCTCCACTGAAATGCACTGGGCAGCATGTGATTCGGTGGATGGGATGGAGGGACAGACAGACGACTGTAGGACGACTAAAGGACAAACACAGAAGTGGCGTAAACAAGACAAACCTTTTGCTTATATACACACACACACACTTTCTCTCACTCTTCCTCTCTCTCCTTTCTTTCCGAGGTTTTCATGTTCTCTCTCACACAAAAATGTCTCCATACGTCGAGTTGGAAAGGCACATACACACACACACAGACTGTAGACTGATGCAGATGGCTGCAGTCCTACACATGAGGGCACTGAGTTCAACTAAGCTTTAGATGGAGGTATAAGCAGGACATGGGAGACTGTCAGGAGCAGGTCAAAGAGTATCTGAAAGCCTTCAAACAACATCATCTTTGAGCTCATGGAAACGGATGGATGGATTCTGATCTTGGGGACGTAGACACTTGAAAGGTAGTGCCAGTCAGAAAAGAACGGATTTTGAACGGATGTCAGATACTGTTTGACCCCTGGTCAGAGCTTAAGGAGCCAGGGGTTGAGGGCTCAGCGCAGCGCGGCTTAGTTACCTGCCACGGGCTTGCGCAGTACCCAGATCTCTTCGTTGGAGCCTCCATGGGGCCCGCTGGACGGGGTGGGAGAGCTGTGAGGACTTGCCTCTGAGCCGCGACAACCTTCAACACAGAACACCACTGTTAGCCGCTAGCGACCCTAAACTGGTGTAGGAAGCATTGCTATCTTTTCGCGAACATGAGCAGCAACAATAAAGGTTTTTCTCTATTTTTGACCATTTGGGGGCAGCGAAAAAAGTATATATATTTATATATCGCCTTATATGGCAGAGTTCATATGGCTAACGTATTAGCATACAGTTGCTAATTTACACATCCAGTAGACACAGTACAAAATTAGTGTCTGGAGTTGTGTCTCTGGTCACCTGATGAACTTAAGTCTAATATTCCCTTGCCTTTTATCACTGTTAGTGTCTGTGAGAAAAATATCTGGTTGTTTGGCTACTAATGCTCCGCTATTTTTACTAGCTAGTTGCTAGCTGTCTGCCATTTGTCATTATGGCGTTTTTCTGAGAACAGCTGCCTTCTGCTGCTGGAGACGAGGTTATTGAGAGTAATAAGACTGAACCGAAAGACTAATGTTGCAGGTCGTAAAGCCAAAATTAGCTAAAAGAGGCTAAAGGGCTCTGTAGAGCTGAGGGGAAGTCTAGGGTTCAAAGTGATAATTCTCTGGAGGGTTGTCACATTACAAATAGTAATTTGATCCATTGTTCATATTAAAAATATTGAGTAGTGCAGTTTTAATGTTTGGCTCAAATCAATATTAGCTGTCATGTATGCATAAACCTGACTTAGATGCCATGATTTTACAGTAAATTATATTTTTAATTAGTTTATTATTTTGTCACATATTGTGCAGTGGTCGGCAACTGGTGGCCCACGGGCCAAAACTGGCCTGTCAGCAATAATATCAGGGCCACCAGATTATTACATCATTTTTTATTTTTTTTTAATCTTACAACATCCCTCTGACAGTCCCACATTTAGGTATAATGTCCAAATAGAGAATCTACCCTCACCTGAGGAAGCTTATTATACTTTTATCCATGAGTGAATGACAGACACAGACAGTCATGCATCAGGCTGCTGGCTGCACTGTAGTCAGTACAAATATAATGTGTGACTGTGGGCCACAGCACCACATGTGAACAGTAACAAAGCAAACTCCAATTGCATTTTTATCAATCAATTTCTTAAATAAACCCCTGATTATGTTCTGGCTGCCATCTAATGGATTAGAAAATAATTGGCCCGAGGCCAAACTTAATTGCCGACCCCTTAAAATATATCAGTTTTATCCTCCACTGCTTCTAAAATCAATTAAAATTTGGATTACATTGGACATTTCTACTTCAATTGTTAAAGTTATGTACAGTATTTGTCCCTCACAAATACAGTAAGAGTTTTGCAGATTACAGTTGTTGCCATTTAGAGATCAGTCAGTAACTAACGGAAATTAGTGATAAATGTTGCTATTTTTTTATTTTGAGTCATGACGGCTCTGACGACGGTTCTAACGATGCAACTCTTCTTGATAGAAAAAAAATCAGTTGTCATGGACCAATTGTCTTTGCAATCTGCCTTATTTTCTGCAGTGTGTCCCAACTTTATAGTTTTATAAAGTTAAAAGTAAAGTGGGGTTAATTAAATTAATTCCAAACTTATCAAGACAAGAATTACAGAGGGGCCAGTAGGAGAGCAGGGTGATGGGGCAAAGGCGGATAACGAAGGCTTTAAAAGGATGTTTAAGTTTCAAACTCACACACATCACACTTTCATTCTCTCTCTCTCACACACACACACACACACACACACACACAAACACAGAAAAGATACAGCATATATATAGATATATGAAAACATTTATATACCCATAGTACATAAATAAATCCATAACATGAATATCTGTGTATATACAAATATATGCAATAATGTACATACACATACATATATAATGCATCAGTACGTGTGTGATTATATATGTAAGCCTTGTCAGAATGGGGCTGCTGTAGCGCATTTGGAGAGTGTCATAAACCATTATAACCGTCTTAATAAGGGTTTATAAATGGTTTATATGTGTGACCAACAGTGCTCTAGAGAAACACACATAAAAAAAATTCCTTTTGCTTTCATGTGACGTCACAGCTCATTCCTGTGGCCATTTTGCATCCCTCCATGTGACCGTGCACGAGCGACTGTTTTTAAGTCAGACTATGAGCCACCTCTGATTCGCCAAAAAGCTGAACTTGACTCATTTGAGGTGTTACATTTCCCTTTATTTGAGTCCTGCATTTCGCATGTTTGGACAGGAAATTTGCCTAAAGGGATTTATTCACCTGGAGGAGACAAAATGGCGCGCAGTGAAGGTTCCCATTTGCAGAGAAGAAAGTACAGAGTTTACAGTGAGAGAACACCTTACCTGCAAAACATTCTGGGTGACATTTCCTAACAATGTATTTGTGTCTCTTATATAACACTTGGCATTTTACATTTTGCAAATCTTTGCATGTAACACATAATTTCAGCATATTGATTTCCTGTGGCCAAGAATAGCTGCACAAAAGATCAAGTCAGATTAGAACAAATTAGCATTATTCCAGACGCAGTATTTCATAGTTTTTTTTTGTTTTTTGTGTTTTGTCTTTTAAGTAGACAGAAAATATCACCCATAAATGTCAGAAAAGCTTTTAAAAGTCTTTTAAAAAGAACGTCTCCAACTAAACCTCTGAGAAACTTCAGGCCTTTCCAGAAAACAAATTCATATTTCTACTCGACAATTTCTGTGGTGTTAGATTAAATTTTGTTTCAGCACATTCATGACAGCTCCAGACTTATTCACCTCTCCAAAGCCTGGTATAGACGCTCAAAGTATTTCCAAACATCACCACAACCGCACATACTCTCTCTCACACACACACACACACACACACACACACACACACACACACACACACACACACACACACACACACACACACACACACACACACATTAAGGGTATAAGTGCAAGGTGGGTAAAAGTGGTGTTAAAATGATAATACGTGGCAATAACAGGCAGGACAAGGACAGAACAGAAAACACGCTGTCTGCTCAGAAAGGTGTGTATCGGGCATGTGTGTATAAGAAACTAGCAGGGTTGTCTGAGGGGGTGGGACAGTGGTGATATGCAGGGAAAGAGGAAAATAACAAGGAGGAAGAAGGGAAGCAAGGAAAGAAGGGAGGAAGGTAGGAAGGAAGGAAGGGCAAAAAAGAACTTCAAAAAACAAGGAAACAAGGCATTTAACTGAAGCACAAACCAACTCAGGTGAACAGAGCTTTGTGGTAAAATGGTGACGTTTTCTATTCTTCCTTACTTGCAAAGACATTCCCAAAAAATCCTCTGTGGTATGGCTCAAAACCACATCCTAAAAAAATCTTTGTATCACCCCCAAACCACACTTTATCAACTCTCTCCAACAAAGCCGTTTTTGGAATTTACTAAATAGTTTTCAGGGTCATTACCACCACTGCTTCTCTATATTGTAACTTTATATGCACAACATCTATAGCATATCTGTCGGTGCTGGAAGAGGCAATCCTTATCCGAAATCAGACTCTCAGGATAGAGGAGCTCGTATGTACAGAATGTAAAGTCCTTTGAGGCAAATCTATGATTTTGGGCTACTTCAATGACTTGACTTGGCCACCTTCTTGACTGGAGTAGGGCTGACTCTAATTTACATACATGTAACCCTGGAAACCTGATATGGATACAGTCAGATTTGTGAGACATATATATGTGGCTAAATGTAAATATAAGTGTATTTATTTGCATCAGTATTTCATTTAGCATTTGAAATGACAAATGTTGCTATAGTCTTTTATTTATGCCTATTATGGATTTTACTTCAAAACTTTATTTACGTTTATCATTCATGGGATTTTATATATATATTTAAGTGCAATGATCAAAAAACATTTCTGTAATATTTGATCTTGTTTCATCTCTCCTCACATCTCTCCTGTCTTTAGAGTGAGCTAGAGTAATGACTCCAGAAATAACAAGAAGACTAAACACTTTAGATTCCTCTCTAAAATCTGACTTTGGCTCTCAGTGATGGAGATGACAACAGCAACAACAGAAAAACAAAAGTTATACAGTATGAGCAACACATAAAATTACATAAATAATGACCCATAACAGAAAACTTTAATGGATGCCTCCAACATTTAAAACACCAATTTGAATCTTACATGACCAATAGAAATTTTATCCTGATACTTAATAAAAATACAGAGGGAAAGCATCCCTTGAAGTTTTTACAATAATAATAATAATAATAATAATAATAATAATAATAATAATAATAATAATAACAATAATAATAATAATAACAATAATAATAATAATAATGATAATAATAATAATAATAATGAAAAGGGGGCGTGTACCTGGGGCAGTGGGTGTGTCTCCCTGTGGAGTTGTCACGGGCGACCTGTTATAGCCAAAGGAAGTGAAAAGTGGAAGCAGTGGCTGATGGGAATGTGGTGGAGGAGGAGGCGGTGGAGGCAGGATATGGATCTGATGGAACGTGGTGTCGTTGCCGTTGACTACCGCGTTGGCAGGGGCAACCGTCGCCGGGGGAACCAGCGGTATCTTTTGAAACTGTTGAGTGCAAATGACTGTGCTGGCCAAACCTAGATAACACCCACCGTGACGACACACCGAAAAACACACACACAACCAGCCAACAGTGAACCAGCGCCACGTAACAAACAAACAACAAAACAGAGAATTACACGTAAGAAAAAGGGGAAAAAAACAAAATTAAAAACAAAGGCTGAAGTTACAAAATCAAACAAAGAAATCAAAAGTAGTGAAGGACACGGCTGATGTTGAAGGCTGGAGGACGGAGAAAAGGAGAGGACGAACAAATGTGGGCATGGTTGAAATGAAGTGTGGTGGGAAGGACAGTGATGGATGGTAAAACTGGAGATGGTCTCAAGGACTGATGAACATTACCTAATAATCAAGTGTGACCTTTTTACTATTAACATCTTTGAATCTCCTACTTATTTTGTAAAAGAGATGGTGGACCCAGTCAATATATTGTACATATTACATGTCATTATAACAATATGCACATGTAACAGTATGTTTGTACAGTATGTGATTCTACTTATACATATACATACACAGTACATATCCAGTGGTGTAGGTTTACTGGCTCTCTCAGTAGTTAAATGCTGCTGGTAGAGAGATACGCCTTAGCTAGGCTCTTAAATAATCTGCACAAAATGTAGTAAATTAACATCAATATGTCACATTTTCTGAACATTTTAAGCATTGTGACTTATTAAGTGGTGTGATTAAAATCTTACCTAAAAGTCTAAGAATGGATGTTTTACATTTCACACTCACATGAAACTGCACTGGGAAAACTAGCTAGCTAGCTCTTGTTCTAATGATTTATTGAGAGCCAAAATGCTACACGTGAGCAGCACTTTTTGTATGCTAACGAATTAACTGTTATTTAACAACTTTTCCTGGACTACGGACAGTAAACTTTAGGAACACATTTCATTTTTTCAGAAAGACAAATGCTGAATGACAGATTTCACTAAGTTACAGAAGCTAGTCCAACAGTCTGGCCAGGACGTGACGTTAGCACTTTGGCTCTCTTTAGCGTTCCCAGCCGAGTGTATGACTGGCCTATTGTCATGTATTGTATTTGTTGTATCATTTCCACTGTGTAACTTTGCTAGTTTCACGAGAGATTCACCTGACTAATCTGAGTCTGAGCAAGACAATGGCCATGACTGTTCCTATCCAGTATGTAAACAGCAGGACAGAAATGACTGCAAACCCCCACCCAACATAAAACAACTCGGAGTCAGAGTGTTGTTTAGCTATCCAGCTTTAGTAGTGACTGGTTAGACTCAGTTACATTAAACTTTTGAACTCAAACTTACAGTCTAGATCTGCTCTACATGAAAAGTGCTGTGAGATAACTTCTGTCACACTATATTGACTTGACTTAAAATTTGAGATACCAGACAATAATACTTTGTGAACATGCCGCTGCGACGTCTGTAAGACACTGTGCTCAGTAGAAACACATCACAATCAGATACGCTGCAACAAGATATACAACACTTTGAAAATCAGCCTGTAAGAGCTAGCTCCTGTAATCAACTCGTGTCCAACACTACACTCACATGGCATACTTGACATTTATCCAAAGCACCCTTTTGTTAATAGCAGTGTACTGAAGCTGGCAGTGCCCTGCGCTCTCTTCTGCTGCCATGAAGCTCACCTGAGAGATAGCGGTCACTTGCTGCTGCCTTTGCTGTAATGTCATCACTCCCCACTCCCTGCCGTGCTGAGCTTAAGGCTTTGTTGCAGGGAGTGAGGAAGTCAGATCCTAGATGCAGAATATCAAAGCTGTGCATATTCTATTTATTTACATTCTATTTATATATAATAATTAATTCCATGTGTGTTGACTGACTGAACAATCATCATATTCATACAAATTAAAGGTAACAAAGAGTCGGGTAAATTACTTGTGTATTAGCCTAAAATAGATGGTCACATGCACTTCCTGCATGTGACAGAATGTAAACAACTAGGCAATGTGTTGTCTTTTATCTTTTAGGCCAGTGGTTCCTAACCTGCGGTCTGCTGCCCACTGGTGGGACACGAAGGAATTGCAAGTGGGCGGACGAATAATTTGCAAAGCAGTACAATTTTGGTGAAAAGATGTAATTATAAAAAAAATAATAAAAATATAATTAATAATAATATCAATACAGTTTTTAAATGTTTTAACATCGTACCACATGCTTGTTTGCTCAGTCTGATTGCGCACTAAAAGATTACATCCATAGCAAAAACTTAATTTCCTTAAAAGGAAAGAGAGTCAAGAGACAGATGGTGAATCGACAAGTGATCTCTCCTCCGTGAAATAAAAAATAAAACTGAGCTTCCCCTGCTTCCGGTTCAGTTCTGTATGTTCAATTGTTATCATTAACATAAAAAGTGCTTTGAGCATTATTTGGCCTCCGTATTGTTACAGGCTCAGATTATGGGAGTTTGAAAAGGTTGGGAACCAGTGTTTTAGGCATTTCTTATCATTTATGTTTCATGTTAGCAAAAGCTTTTCTTCGCCGACAAATGGAATATATATTCAAACTATTAGCATCCCAGCTACTGGATGTCCAGTTCGGTGCAAAGATAATCATCATCCCAACTTCTCTACTGAAAAATATCTATTGCTTGTAACTAGGACCTCGCCTACTCCTGAAACAGATACTTCACTAGATTAACTATCCATACGCCAACTGCTAAATTCCAACAGTCAACTTTTGTAGTTTATGTGCTTAAATAAAGTTAGCCTGTGTCATATCACTGTGCGTACCCACTTTGATTGTTATGGCTGCTGCAAAATTATTGTTCATTTTAATTGACATGAAGATTTCTTTTTCTCTATCTCTATTTAGTTGATGTCTTAATTGGCCATGTATTTTGGTTAAAAAAAATCCCTGTTTGTGGGAAAAGAAGGAGCAGATGAGAAGTACAGCACACATAGAAGAGACAGACTGAGGAGGAATGGTGAGAAAGAAAAATAATTAAAAATTAATGAAAAACAGTAAATGAAACCTCTCGCTACAACAGCTGCTATAGCCCCCAAGTGTGTGCTGATGCACCCTGGCAGTGATTAGTCAGTGTGGCCCAGCTGTTTTTTGTACTGTATCCACAGCTGCTTTATAAAAATGTGCTGTATGTTCGGACAGATACCGCCATGATGGCATTTCTCCAAACCATGGAGCAGGGTTCATGGTAGTAAATGGACTGATACAGTACAGAGAGGGTGATGACAAGAAGGATTATGTTGAGGACAGAGGTGAGTGAGAATCCTGTGATCACAAGGGATGAAGCGAACAATCACAAAGAGACAGGCTTACAGACTGAGACACCCAGACATATTACGACAGAGAGACAGACAGATGGACAATCACAACAGCCAGACCTGCAGACAGACACTAATACACAGTTAAAAAAACATCTGAGCCTCTCTGTGGCGATGCAGTGATGGGATGGATGTGAATGTGTTCTGTACGTCTCACCAAAGAGATTAATTGCTCACTGTGTTGATCTAAGATGGAGGAAAGAGATTAAAGTGATGGGAGGAGGTTTTAAGAGTTTCACACTGGCTGTTCAGCTTGCCTGTTAAGTAATGAAACACAGCAAAAATACACCAGTATCTCTGGCAGGTCTTTGTCTTTATTACCATACATCTTGTTTTAAGGTTACACTATTAACACTGACTGTAAACAAAGATGGACGTAGCCTCCGTGACGTTACAAATAGGTTTACGAAGAGCGGTTTTGAATCTCAGAGTGAGCTGCTCCACCATCGCCGTCTTGGCAGTGCCTAACTCCCAGCTAATCCAAAAATGGGCAAAGAGATGGAGCTGAAACTTCGGTGCATACTAGTTTGTGACAAGCATACGCTCATCCGCCTGTCACTCAAAGTGGCCATGCCCTCAATTAAGCACCTTAAGCCTTAATAAAATTTAAACGAGTGAATTACATTAAAATTCACCTCTGCACAGCTGTCATGATTAGCTATAGAGAACGATACAGTTTTTTTGCACCAGGCTGTCAACATTTTGCTGTAAATTTGTACATTTTGACCATCTGAACAGTATGTGTTCAATAGTAAGTGCAGAGGGCCAGCATGTTGCACTTATGATTGCTTAGATGCACACCCTGTAGTGCAACACTAAATAAAGTAATAAGAGGGGATGGATGCAATGGCTCCTTTGGTAATTCAGAGAGAGTATTAAAAGCTGACTTTCAGAACAGGTGCAGCCTTGGACATGTCCAGAACATGTCTATGTAATAAGCTTGCAGGGGCTTGCTTGCATCTGTCACATGCAAAGTCTTTTAAGGAGTTGTTTAAGTCCTCTCTGATTTTGCCGTTTCCCCAGCAGCCCAAAATGTCTAACTATTCTGTTTATCTTGGATTTGTTCTTATTTAAATGCTACCATTCAGCAAGTAATGCTTTGTGGCAGCACCGAGAACTGCAACATTTAATCAACCAGGGGCATGTGGATGATTTTGGTGTCTGTGTTCTCATTACTTAACAGGTATATTCATACATTCACCAGGCCAAACTCCTAAAAGCTTTGTGTTTGTGTTATGGTTGCAGTTGCTAAACACCGTCAGTAATGACAGAAATGACAGCTGAGTGTTTGGTAGTTCTGTGCTGCTGGCAGACTCACAAACATCTTCTCTCCCACTGTGTGAAATGACAGAGATGAAATTCTCTGATGTGGTTTTTATTCTAACCTGCATTCATCTGGTTGACTAACTCAATATTTCTGGAGACTCAAACCCGGAATCTGATCGGTGTGATGACAATTTCGTGCCTGTTGGCCACTGTGCAGCTCCACTCTAGTGGATGGTAATGTTAAGTGACTTCCTCAAGTGTTAATGAGAGAAGCTAGAACATTATTCATCCACTTAGTTTCACTCTTCTTCCTCTTTTTCTATCTTTCTTCAAGTTCTTCTTCTGTGTTTTATCCAAACATGTGTACTGAATATTCCAACAGTTGATTTGCTGACACTTTACCAGACAGTCAGCTTGGCTGCAATTTTAAACACACAACACACACTCACACACACACTCTCACACACACACACACACACACACACACACACAAACACACACACACACACACACACGAACAGGAGTGACAACACACCTGTGCGCTTGCTGATGACTTCCACCATGGTGGACGGGAAGTAGCCCACCCGATCATTTCCTGTTCGGTTGTCATGGATACAGCCTTTCCAGCGTCCATCCGGGTGCTGCTCCAAAACCTGTCAGGAAGATATGTTTCAGTTTAATAGACACATACATTAAATAAACATAGATTAAAGATAAGAACATAATTTTACTGTAATGTGCATTTGTGTGAATGTTACAACCCAACACTGAGTCTGCTGGTTTAATTCTATTTTTAGCTTTCCAAAAGTTACTGAAAGGCCTTGAAATATCTAGTACCATCTTTGTCAACCGGAAATGCAAAACTGCATTTGGTAATTTTCCCTGAGTCAGACAAGAGCAAAGCCAAATCCTTCAGTCAGACCCTGAGGGAGGAAACATAGGCACTGCTTGGCTTCCTTATTCCTGTAATAAGCACTCATAGGCAGCATAAATGCTCATGAATATTCATGAATGGTGGGTGGACTACGACGTAACGAGTGAATACATGTTTCTGTAAAACATATTCGTAGTAAATGAGGGAAGCTGCTCGTTCTTGCATATTCATCATCATCTCACCCAACACTGAAAACCGACCAGCTAACCAGCTAAAACACAAACAGGACGGTCATCAGGGCCGTGTTGTTGCAAGTGAACAGGCCGGCTTTTATGTGATTAATTTATCCGAGCTCTTGAAGACTGTAGCACACTGCTACCTGGAATATTATGGGATGGCCAGACATAGATACTGGACTGTGTTCCTCGTAACATGAAGTCAACCCCTCATCACAGGTTGCATGCAGGGCTGCAGCCAACCATTATTTTCAATATTGATTAATCTGCAGATTATTTTCTTGATTACTTGATTAAACATTTGGTCTCTAAAATATCAGAAAGTGGTGAAACATTTCCATCACAATTTCCCAAAGCCTTAGATGACTAACTAAAACCCAAATATATTCTCTTCACAATCGTAGGAGACAAAAGAAAAGAAAAGCTGGAACCGATATTAATCTGGGATTTTTTGCTTAAAAATAAATCAAACAGTTGATTAATTTTCTGATCAGTAAATCAACTAATTCTTCCAGCTCTAGTAATGTCTCTCTGAGTTGAGAGCTGTACAAATCAAAGTGATTTCCCCTCTTGGATTGTTTTAGTTCAGCATTTTATGGGCCTGAAGGGGTAAAAATATGAAGTGCTTCACAGAAAAAAAACAACAAAAAAAACAATGATAAGCGAAAAGGACAAAAACAAAACAAAGAACACCTATCATTCAGTGTAGCAAGTTTATTTATCTATTTTAAAAACTTTGCAGCTTTGATGTTAGAAATGGTCAGTAAATGTGTCTGCTCACGATGACATTTCATTTTGTGTTTTGTTGTTGATGTTGAGACTAGCCATTGTGTGTGTGTGTGTGTGTGTGTGTGTGTGTGTGTGTGTTACCGTAATAACATCTCCTGCTTTGATGTTGAGGCTGGTCAGGTCGTAGTTGTTGCAGTAATCTTTCAGAGCCCGAACCTGAAGAGCTGCTGACGCATCTGAGAAACAGAGACAGAGAATTACTGCTATATACTATAAAATTATATAATTATATTATAACTTTATTTTTATTTACTATACTTTATTTTTATATTTACTATATAATACTATAATATATATACTATAATAATATGTAATACTGAGCTATAATCAGTAGCCAGTTAGCTTAACTTAGCACAAAGACAGCTAACTGTGCTCTGTTCAAAGCTAAAAAGGCCACAATGTTTAATTTTTACACTTTATTTTTGGTAAATTAAACACATGCAGAGACATAACTTATATAAGATTCACATTACATGAGATATAAGATATTGTTACCACTGCACAGAGCCAGGCTAACTGTTTCCCCTCGTTTTCAGTCTCTGCACTAAGCTAAGCTAACCAGCTGCAGGCTGTAGCTTCATGTTTAGCATAGATAGTCATCTAACACTTGGCAAGAAACTGAACAGGCACATTTACAAATATGTTAATCTATTAGTTTTGTTTTGTTTTGTTTTTGTTTCATCCATCCATCCACCCATCCATCCTACCCCTCAGCAGTTGCTTGATCTCTCTACTGGCTTGTGTTGCAGTGAACTGGTAGACGATATCCAGTGCAGTCTGGCTGTAAGTGTTCCTCACTGTGGCATTGATACCACTCTGTAGAAGAGAAAAGAAGATTGTTTATTTATTTGTTAATTTATTTTGTTCGTGCGGATATAAAGAGAGAAATCAGAGAGTGAAAACAGACTAGAAAAGGGTTTAATTTTCTGATCTGTTCTGAATTTTGAATTACAGTTTCTAACAAAAAAAACAAACTTTCCTTTATTACATTACCTTATTAATTATTACATTACACCACACATACCTATTTATACAGGAAAAATCAAAACAAACAGTTTCCAGTTACTTAAAACTAATAAATTACAGTCCCCTCATACTAATCAAACACCTTAGGGATGTGATAATCTACCACCATGACGTCAACAGAAAATAACCCATGCTCGCTCAGTCAGTCCCTGTGGCTGTTCCACTAATTACAACCTCCTCTTATTCTTCAGCCGAGACAGCCAGAGGCTGAAGAGCAATATCACATTCAAATCTGGTGAATCAAATGTAGGCCGAATGAACAAAGATGAATTCAGTCCGCAGACGCTTCAGGGCAAAGACTCGTAACCTTTCACAGTCGAGAATGTAAATGACAAAGTTAGTTTCTCATGCTGGGACACACACAGTCATTAAAACATATTGCCTTGCTTGTTTTCATATAACGCACTGTATTTCAGTGTCACCAGCACAAAGGGGTAATTTACATCATCTCTCTCTGGGTTTTTCTTGTGTCAGTTTAGCACTACTTTTCATAACTGTGCCTCAGTTTTATCAGATGGGGGATACAGGGATTTTCCAGACCCCTTTATAAATAAGCAATAAGCAAGCAGTCTCAGACCGCCACTACATTTACTGCATTTAATTCCTCCCAAGGAACTCTAGGAATATTTTCATAATGATGAGACTCTCTGTTTACACATCAGGTGAGATGAAAACAGCAGTGGTGACTTAAAATCTTTCTGTGAAATAAGAAAAAACTATTTACATGATCATTTTTATTGATATTTTAAAAAGGGGCTATTTGTACATTTTCTCTGCAGCCGAACATGGTTTCTTGCTGGGAGCAGATGGTGGCGATTGTCGCTTTACAAGACACAAGGTTATAATACGTCCTCTGAGCACAGAGGCAGACTGGACGCTACAGTAAGTTGCAATCAGAAAACGACGAGACAGGACAACTAGCTGGTTAGCATGCTAGCACGCTTTTGAGTAATAATTGACTTTTTTGTTTTTGCAAAGAATATTCCTGAATATTTCCAGAATATGCAAATATTCTATCATTTGAGGAGTTTAACTGCGAGACAGAAGATGCCTCCTACATCACTGAGAAGTCCATTCTCAATATATGTGCACCGGAGGTTTGAAGTTGCCGCATAATCAAGCTGCATATTGAACCATGTTTGGCTTCCAAGGTAGTTGTGATGTCATAAAATCCTGCTTATAAGTACACAACTTAAGATCAGATTTAAGGTGAATAGATGAATATGAAAACAGCCTTCTAGAGTCAAACTCTGAACATGAGGTAAGAAGATTTGTCAGTGAGGGAGACTTTAAATATAGTTCATCCTGTGCCATTAGTTTCTGGGACAATTCCTGTGTACAATGGGATAATATCTTGCCAATATGAAAAATGAAAGGATAAGCTATGAAAATATGAAAATGGTCAACTGTTTGTATTTTTTACATACAGATCCCAGCTTTGGTTTTGGCCCTCAGAGGCTCTACGGCCAGGATCTTGAATTTCTAGTTCTCCCATATATAATTTCAGTCTTCTTTAGTGATCTCCAGGACCACCTCCCCCCACATTTTGACTTTTGATATGGACAGTCGAGTCATTTTTTAAGTTTTGTATTGTGCTGTATAATGTTTATTGTCTTCTATTCATTAACTGAATAAAAGACCAAACAAAGATAAATTCAGTTCAACAAAGAAAATATCTTATCCACTAGTTAACCCCAGTGCACTGCAGGAGTTCATGAAGATAATGTCTCCTGATGTTAGGATTTGTTTCTTAGAGAAGCCGAACAAACGGGACAATGTCTATTTTCCAGCTGCATCTGTAATTTAAATATATTTACATTCTGTTTATCTTCTGTAAAATGTCTTAATTGTTTTCATTTTCTCATAATTTTCTACAAATCGATTTTCACGTCACCTTGAATGCGCCACTGTCACAGCAATATTTTCACAGTACTGAAGACAGCAGTTAAATTCAGGGGGGACAGGCCATGAAACATTTATATACCATATGCTCTAAATTCTGAGTTAGATGGGAACTGTCCTTTAAGTGAACTCGAGCTTAGGTGACAGTGTCAGAGGGTTCTCAGTAAAGTTCCACTTACGTCCAGCAGGAGTCTCACTGCCTCGGTCTTGCCGCAGAGAGCAGCTTCGTGCAGGGCAGTGCCCGCTTTGGTCTGTCTGTTGATGTCGATACCAGCCTGGATCAACAGTCTGACAGCAGGGGCAGAGAGCAGAAGACAGGATGCAGTGAGTGAGGGAAGGAGTTGAAAGTGTGATAAGAGATGACAGAGAAAGGACAGAGAAGGAGTCAGTGAAAAACATGAGTGTGAAGAGTTGCACAGGAGAGAGCATGAGCAGGGGAGAGGGTGAGGAAGTGAAGAGAGGTGACAAAATGAAACACAGATGTAGATGTGGTGCAGAAAGAAATGGATTTGAAGGATGAACCGGGCAGGAGAGGTGGGAAAAAAAACAGAGGGAGAGATAAGAAAAAGGGTGCAATCATGGTAGACTGCACCTGATCTAAAGGATAAGCCTGGCACTATATATTTCTCTTACTGTCAGCAAAGTCCATGAAATGACCAAAACCAACCATGTACCTCAATAGTTTCTGTTACTACTGATAATACAAATATTTAAAAACTGGTAACAAATATCATTTAATTTTAATAAAGAGTTTTGCAAAGGTTGATGGTGCATTTTGGGGACTATTTTCAGCTGCAGATTAATACACATTTGTTGAGTTAGTGAGCATTTAAAGCACCATGATTGTATGTTGAACTGACTCAGATATTTTCTTTCTGTACTAAAATAAATTTACAAGTGAAGGAAAGAAACATTTATATTTAGAGGCATATGAAAGTATTAGCACAGTTTCTTTTTTTACAGATTGAATTTTTTTTTTTTAGCCATCAGTCTAAACTCAAAAGCCCATAATGACAAAGCAAAAAACCTGTGTTTTTAACTCAAAAAATCTCTCTTTTACTGCACTACTATTGTGCCCACACTGCTTCATTCACTTTGTGATATAAAATGATGGTGGGCTATGCATGTACATATACAACTGGACACCCTGGTAGTGGTGTTTAGGTATTTTTATATACTGTGACACAGAGCTGGTCGAGATGCACAGAGACTTCAAAATGCAGATTTCTCGGCCGGATGCAAACAGCCAGTCACAGTTCATGCGGCCCCCATGTGGTATATCTCATTAGTGCTGCAGCCCTGATGTGTAATTACATGTGTAGACTCTGTAGCTTCAGAGAAACCCCTTAATGTACAACTACATGTAAACCTTAAAGCTGATCAGGGAGGGGAGGGGGCACTCTTGATTAAAAGATGTATGACGACCAAGTTTCCCAAAAGGCAACAAAAATACCACAAGAGCACAAGGAAAAACATTCTCTGGTCAACTCTGGTGAACTGGCCTGAGCTAGGCATGCTAACATGCTAACATGCTAAACTAAGATGGATAACATGGTAAACATTACCTGCTAAACTTCAGCATGTTAACATTGTTACTGTGAACATGTTAGCATTCTGATGTCAGCATTTAGCTCAAAGCCCCGCTGTGCCTAGGTGCAGTGTCATAGAGCCTGTATGGCTGCAGACTGTGTGTATCAGGTTTTGGTTACACAGGCCGCACCTGTTAATAGGATCAATTCATTGTTGGTGTTGGTCTTTTCATGGGATTTGAGGACATCTGGTTGACAGATAAACTGTAGCTCATCAAGAAAAATTAAATTACTGTCAGTGTTTGTGTGTGTGTTTATGTGCATGTGTGTCTTTCACACAGTGGTTGCCATGCCTAATGAGCATCATTTATCAGTGTCAACTCTGGAGAACCACGCTCTGCTCTATTAGCTATGACAGGCTTTATTCTCTCTGCTTTATTCTCTCTCTTCATTTTTGTACACCTCTCGCTCATTCTCTCTCCCGTCTTTTCCTTGGTTACAGTCCTCTCTCATCTCTCAGTGTCTTCCTCCCTCCCTTTACCCCTGTATGTATCTGCCAGGTAAGCAAACTTTTGCACCAACACACACACATATACACACATATAGCCCTGAGTTACTTTGAAAGTGGTTGAGAGTGATGAGAGAGAAAATGGACCTTGTGGTGTGTGTTTATTTGCCACACCATCCTTCTCTGATCTTTCTTCCCAAAGCTTTGTGCTGAATGCTGACATCACCACGACAACAAAAGTCACTTTGCCCTGATGCTATTTTGCTTAAACACAAACAAAAATTAGACGCGCATCTCCACCGAGATGAGATTACAATGACTTGACCTTTAGCGTGAGTGGGATGCAGAGCTGTGGTGTTTCCAGTCACATCAGCTGTCTCCAAAATGTATTCAGGAGCATGTGACTGATGCGTCCGCTCTCACTTTACGGCAACACATTTGTTCTATTATTCCTTCAGTGTATTGGGTCATATTGCTCCCCTGTTGTGTTATACATCTGTTTTATCAGCATGCTCTGGAGGATGTTTAAGCCCAGTGATTCATTAGACATGCTGTGTGCTTGTGGATGGATCTGGATGTGGAAGTGAGTGAGTGAGTGTGTGTGTGTGTGTGTGTGTGTGTGTGTGTGTATGTACC